GTTGCAATGGAGACTCTCTGAAGCTAAATACTTGAGGAATGAGATTGGTGAAAGTGATTGGAAAATATTTCTGCGCATTGAACAACGGCTGTTATGTTTGTACATAAGTCCTGTATCAGGCGGTATAGCATGAACATTGGTACAGAGTTATGGCTGTTGGTCGTCTCACTGTCCGTAAATCGCGTCGCTCGGTTTCACACCTTCCGCCCTTTGTACTGAAATGGGGTGTTGCGAGCCTATGTCACAGTCGAAATTAAGATGCGTATGGGATATTAAAGAAAATTGGATCCATGATTTGAACTCAGGTAGGCCTCTGTAGGATTCCGTGTGGGATTGGGGACCCCTATCGGACCCTACATGTTATGTGGAAGGGATAACCAGAGTTGCAATAGCTCTGTTTGAACTGGAAGCACTGGATTTTACTAAGTAATGTCACTGATGGTTGATGAGATGAAGCCTACATATGAACCAATCCGGTTGATCATGTCCGGGAGCGATCAAAAGGTTGCGTATGTGTGTCCGTGAGCAGTCAAAAGGTTGATGGCAGTGTAAGTATGAATCTTGATAGCTCAGGATGGAAGTGAGACGCTATCTTGTAGCTTAAGAGTGAAATATGTCAGCTGTCATTAGTCATAATGCTGTGTTTCGGGTAGCACATAGAAACAATCATAATATTCGTGTTCCGGATAGCATGTGATATCGGAAATGCTAAGTGTGTAAGTCATTCTCATTAGCCGGATGCGTCGTAACGTGTGCCACACGAAGACTCTGTTAAGGTGGTAGGGCATAAAGCGCAGAAGTGCTAGGTGATGGAGGCTCTGTCGACCATCAACCTAACACCTAGTAACCTGAAGCTCCCGAAATGTAGAAATACATCCTGAAAAGGGCTACGGGAAACCATCTCCTTGCTTTGAATACTTCGTTATCAAGAAAGTTAGATTTTAACAATTAAAAATTTTTTTTCTATACTTAGACCAAAATTTTAAAATGAAATCAATTATATAGTATTAAAGTTAAAATTATCAAGAAATAGGACTATTTTTCAATTAAATCTACTGCAAAATTAGTGATGTATAAAATATTGTATAACTAAATTAATAAATTTGGTAATATTATTTTATAATAAAAAATTAAATTTGAAAAGTTAAAAAAGCTATTTGCTTTTACTATAATTGTATTCAAATAATATTATTATCCTTTACACCGTTTTACAGACAAATTTGCCTGCAACTTTGCAAATTATTGAAGTATCCGGTTGTTTAAGAAAACAAATTTGCCTATTTGGACGCTTTTGCTCGCATCATTTTTGGCAGCATACGCCTGTTTTTGTTGTTACTACTTGTGTTTATCCG